GCCCAGGTTTGGTCCCCCCGCGGCCCCGAAGGAGCCGAGCACCAGAGGTCACTCTTGCCCGGTGTCACTCCCTGCGTGTGGGCGAAAAAGGCTCGGGCGGGCGGCAAGGGGGGGGCCGACCCACATGGGGGGGTGAAGAAAACACGGCCCTTTTGAAAGGGCACCTGCTGGCTCCGAAAAGGGCCCCAAAGGGCCCCTTTCAGGGCCTTTTTTTCGCCTCCAGTGTGGGTCCACCCCCCCTTGCCGCCCGCTCGAAAGGCGAGGGGCCACCGCGCGGAGCGGGGGGGGGGGCGGGAGGGGGACCAGTCGACGGCGCGCCTAGGGGGAGGGGGTGGGGAGGCAGAGAGGGCGGGCCTCCTCGGAAAGCTCAGGAGGCTGATGGCGACGATCATGATGATGGCGGTAATGGTGATGATGGTGATGGTGATGATGATGCTGATGATGCTGTTGCTGATGATGCGAATGGTAATGCCATCATCATCAGCATCGTACTCATTATAAACATAATCAGCACCATCATAATCATCATCATCGTCGTCGTCGTCATCACCGCCATCACCATCACGATCACCATTACAACTACCATCACCGTCACCATCTTAATCATCATCATCATCACCAGCATCATCACCATCACCATCATCCTCATCATCCTCATCCTCATCACCATCATCTTCATGACATCGTCGTCATCATCATTTGTATCACCCCATCATCATCAGCATCATCATCCCCATCATCATCCTCACCACCATCCCCATCATCACCATCATCAGGTTTATCTTCATCATGATCATCATACCCATCATCATCCTCACCATCATCACCATCATCACCATCATCATCATCAGCATCATCATCATCATCATCATCATCACCATCACCATCACCATCACCATCACCATCACCATCACCACCCTGGCCTGCTGAGGAGCTCCAGAGCCGCAGAGGGCTCCTCAGGAGGCCAGCGGGGGCTTGTGGTGAGCCCCGCCGCCTTCCGAGAGGGCACGCCTCCTCCCACTTCCCCCCTCTGGGCCTGGGCGCGCCGCGAAGCAGGAGTGCCGAGGGCGCGCTTCCGTGGGGACCCCGTCGGCGCGTGGCTCCCCCTTCGTGCGCGGGCGAAGCGGCGGGAAGCCTCCAAGCCGGCCGCGGAAACCTGACCCAGGGCTCCACCACCCCTGTGAATTACTGACCCTGCCGCTGTCGTTTCCTGCAACCCTGTCGCTGCTGCGCGGGCACCCGACTCCCAGGCGGCGAGAGGCGGCCCCTGGCCCACGTTGCGCCGCGCTCCCAAAGCCGAACCCGCCTTCGCTGACCTTCATGAAGGCCTGGGCCCGCGGGGCCGTAGTTGCGCCCAGTGGTGCACACAAGAAGGCGACCACGCTGTCACAAGCGCGATGTAGTGCTGGTTCGGCACGTGGAGCGTGGAGCCGAGGTCACTCCCAGAGCCAGCCGCAGCGCTCCCCTTACCTTCCACGAAGGCATGGCGCATCTCCAACAGCACCACGCTGTCATTGATCCTGTTTTGGCCCCCCCGCCCGCGGATGGGAGGGGGCTCTCCGATGAGCTCCTCCTCCCACTCCACCTCTGGCCGCATTGCTGCTCCTCCCCCTGCTCCTCCTCCTTCTCCTCCTCCTCCTCTTCCTCCTCCTCCTCCTCCTCCTCCATCTCCTTCTCCTCCTCCTCCTCCTCCTCCTCCTCCTCCTCCTCGGGCTGCACTGCTGCTGCTGCTGCTGCCGCTCCTCCCTGCAGCCTCCTAGATGTGGGCAGCGCTGTCGCCCACGATCGGTGCCCTCCCCTCCTGGCCGGGCGCAGGCGAGGAAGAAAACTTGAAACCTCGCTCGCGCCTCCTCCACTTTTTCCTTATTGACAACTCCTCCCTGTCGCACCCCGAGGTCCGTCGAAAAGGCGGGCCGGGCGTTTCGCCTGAGACCTCACCACTTAGGAGCCTGATGCTTAAACCTTGCAGTTTTACGGATGGAGGGCGGGTCGTTTTCAAAATGCGGTTCTCGCCTTAGCGCCGCGCAGATTCATTGTAGAAACGTCGAAGAGCTTCACGGATTGAGGGCGGATCGTTTTCAGAATGTGGTTCTCGCTTCAGCGCCGCGCACGTTCGTTGTAAACATGTAGAGGAGTTTCACGGATTGACGGCGGGGTCATGGATTGGGGGTGGTGGTGTTTTTTACAATGTGGTTCTCGCTTTAGCGCCGCGCGCATTCGTGTTGAACAATTTGAACGCGTCTCACGTACTGAGGACGGCTTGTTTTCAAAATGTGGGTCTCCTCTTTGTGCCGAGCACATGCGTGTCAGACATGGGTAAGAGTTTCACGTATTGACGGCGGGCCGTTTTCAAAATGCGGTTCTTGCCTCAGCGCCGCGCACATTCTTTCTTAATGGTAAGACGTTCATGGATTGAGGGCGATGATTTGTCAAACTGCGGTTCTCGCCTCGGCGCCGCGCACACGCATTTGAAACATGTGCAAGAGTTTCACTGATTCGTGGTGAGCGCACCAGAAATTGTGTCTTAAAACGGTTCAGGATTGTCAGGGCGCAACATTTACATTGATTCGCGGAGTTGAAGTCCCAGGAGTCGTGTTCTGGCAGCATTCTGGATCGCCAAGACGTAACAGTCACGTTGGCTCGTGGCGTTGAATTCCTGAGAACGGTGTTCTGGCGCGCTTCAAAATTTTCTCACGGTTGTCCCCCAACGGGGCATTTCTTTTAATGGAAATTACTCTTTGTAGGGGTCTGTGAAGAGGGATCTTGGAGGGAGGGTGTATTTCAACATCGTTGAAGAGTCTTTGGCTTACGCTGGTCTTCCTCCTCCGCCACCTCCCCCTCCGCCCGCTTTTGTTGCAGTTAACCCTGGAGAGGCCGCTGCCCAGTGCCCCTCTCGCCGATCCGGCCCTCGTCGTGTTTCCGAGAGACCGCAACCAGCATGTCGTTGGAGGTTCAGAGCAGCCTACGGGGCAACTCGGTGTTCTCGTGAGCCTTCGGAAGACCCTTCGAGGGCCACATGACGCCACGGCCTCCCGAAGCCTCGATGCTCGACCCTCGGGCCGGGAGGAGGAGGAGGGAGGAGGTGTTTGGAATGTTCTGCTCGTGGAGGCCCCCGCCCCCGCGGACCTCTGCCAGATGTGCACGCGGCCGCAGCGTCCTTGCAGTGCTCGGCCCCCGTCTGGCCGGGCATGCCGGCCCTATCCATCACCGATCGACTGTAAGAGCGACCCTTCGCCAGAGTGACCTTTGGGTGCGGGCTCACCGGGGTCCCCCCCCCCCGATCGCCGGGCGTGATGCGGCAGTGGCGTCTTGCGCGCTTGCGTGTGGGCCCCCCGCGGCCCCCCATTAGCCGCGCACCGAAGGTCACTCTTATCCAGGGTCACTCTTGCGTGTAGTCGAATCGAGTGTAAAAGAACACCTAACCCTTATCACACGATTAAGACGTGACCTCGCTTAGGTTCCCGTCTTCGCACCAGGGATGATCAATTGTGGCTGTCTGGTTGGATACATCTGCAGAAAATACACCCTATCCCTAAGGCTTTCGGCTCTCCTAACTCCCCAGGCCCCCGACGTCATGATTTGTTCGTAACGTCGACCCTCAAGGGTCTCGACACGTTCCCCTGGACCGGTTTCTCGTCCAGAGTTGTTTTTTGACGGTCGCGACCGAGTCCCGGGAAGGGCCTCCGGAGGCCCGCAGTACAGAACAGTTTCCCGTCGTGATCTCTTCACTGCCCGAGGGGGTCTGGGAGTTCAGGTCCCCTCGCAGAGGGTTAAGGGGCACTTCTGTTGCTCCTCCTCCTCCTCCTCCTCCTCCTCCTCCTCCTCCTCAGTGTCCTCCTCCCCCCTTCCTCCTCCTCCTCCTCCTCTCCTCCTCTTCCTCTCCTCCTCCTCCTCCTCCTCCTCCTCCTCCTCCCCCCCCTCCTCCTCCTCCTGGCCGTGCACCAGGCGGCGCGCCGCCTCTGCGGCGCGGCGCCGTCCATAAACAGCGCGTCTGGGATTCTCGTGTGGAAGGGGCGCCACAGGGCCGAGGCGCACTGGCTGTGGACAGAGATCGAGCCTCTGGGGGCCAGACTCTTACCCATGTCCAGTGCGCCTCAGGTCCCGGGGGAAGGAAGCCTTGGAACTCCAAGCTGCAGTGGATGGATATGGATGCGAGTCTTAAGGGAACGAAGAATGACATAAGCATACAACCTCGGAGTTCCGCACGAATTTCTCGGATCGGCGCTGGGGCCCCCTGGCGGCGCCTCCGGCGCCGCCCCTGGCGCGCTCCGCGCGCCAGCGAGGGGGGTCCAGCGCGGATCCGAGAGATCCGCGCGGACCTCCGAGCTTTTATGCTTTATTCGTTCCCCTCAGCCTAAGTCTTGCCCGCAGCCTCTGCACGCCCACCTGCGCGCGCGAGCCGCGCAGAGCCGCCGCCCTTGGCGTGCCGCCGCACGCTGCCCGCCTTCTCCCCGCCGGGCCCCTCTGAGGGCCGCCGCCGCCTCGAAGAAGAACGTCGAGACGTCGCGAAGGGTCCCGATCGGAGCCCCAGCGCCCACCTTTCTGCATCCCCAGACCCCCGTCGGGTAATGAGAAACAGTCAGGACGGGAGGTGTTTCCCCAGTCTCGGCCTCGGGAGGCCCTGACCGGCACCTTGGGCCGTCAGCAAAACGACCAAGGATGAAAAGCTGGTCCAGGGGAGTGGGTCGAAACCTCTGAGGGCCGACACGATGAAAAAATCATGACGTCGGGGGTCTGGGAAAATCGAAAACCCGCGAACGATCGCGATCATCGGCACAGGCACGCACAAGCATGCCGAGCGCCGCGCCGACACCGACCCCAAGGACCTCTCCTGAGCTAGGCCCGGACAGTGCCCGCAGCGGCTGTCGCTCGCTCGCACGATCGGAGCCCAAGAGCCCGCCTTTCTGCGTCATTTCCCGAGCCGGATCGATCTGTGAGGGTCCTGGGGCCCGACGTGGGGCGAAGGCGCCCGTCCGTGGTGAACAAAAAATTGCCGCGCCAGGATTTGGAGGCCTTCTGTGGGCTGGGCTGGCCTCGGGCGCCGCCCAGTGCCGCCCCGCCGCTCTGCGCGCGCCCGCGCGCGCGGCGATGGCCGCGCTGGTGGAGCGCTGCTGCGCCGCCCTCTCGCGCTGGCGCGCCCAGGCGGGCCTTCTCCGAGGGGCGCTCCTCTCCTCCTCACTCTCTCCTTCCTCCTCCTCCTCCTCCTCCTCCTCCCCCTCCTCCTCCTCCTCCTCCTCCGCCTCCTCCTCCTTCTCCTCCTCCTCCTCCTCCTCCTCCTCCTCCTCCTCCTCCTCCTCCTCCTCCTCCTCCTCCTCCTCCCCCCCAGACGTATATGTATGCGGCCAGAGGGAAGCTTGAAAGGCGAGGAGGACGCCACGGAAGGGGATGGTTTGCTAGGGGTCGGTTAGGTTAGGCCGCGCCCGAACTCGGGGTTGGCCTGACCGACCCCTGGCAGACTATCCCCTTCCGTGACGTCCCCTTCTCTTCGCTCCAAGCCGCATATCCCTGAGATCTTGGCGTCTCATTTTTTCGAGCCGGGCGGTTTCGTCAGGTTTCGGGCCCGGGGACCCTGACAGGCCGATCGGGCTCGAAAGATGGCACAGAACGAGGGGGTCCAGAGCTCGGGTCGTCATTATAGCGACGTCTCAATTTTCTCGCGCCGTCAGACCCCAGGGATGTATGCGGCTGGACGGAAGCTTGAAAGGCGGAGGAGGAGGAGGAGGAGGAGGAGGAGGAGGAGGAGGATGAGGAGGAGGAGGAGGCGGAGGAGGAGGAGGAGGAGGAGGAGGATCCTCATCGAGCCTTCGTTTAGATCGTGCAGGGAAGGGTCCCTCGTTCGGCTTCGTCCTCAGATGCTGGCTCCTCCTGCCGGCTGGACCGACGAGCCGTGCGCCTGGCACGCCAGCTGCGGCGGAGGGGCGGCGGAAGCCGGCGGGAGCGCAACGGGGTCGCTTCTGCCGGCGGAAGGCCGGGGGCCTGCGCGCCGCTCTCCGCCAGCGGGGGGGGGAAGGTCGAGCAGTGGCGAAGCGTCTTAGCTCGCCTCTGGGCCTACCAAAGAATGTCTTGAGAACCTTTTGTGGCTTCCACGAAACGTGCTCAGAGCATTCCTGGCCGGGACTGTCCTGCCTTGGCACAGCGGGCTTGTGTTCTGAGAGCATCAGTTTGGGTCTCAGAGCGCTTTCGGGTTCTGAGAGCGTGCCGTGGTGGGCCTACGGGCATGCCGGGACGGTCGGCCCCTGCTCAAGAATTAAATCGGGCGTGTCCCCCTGCAGGGGACTTTCGACCAAAGATAAACACATGAAAAACAACTATTCAAAAAATTGTTCCCTGGCTACTTTTGGACTATTTTCATATTTTTGTATTTTCCCTACCTAGGCTCTGCCTAGAAGGGTTCCTACTCGCTAAGCTTAAAGGGCCGGGCAGTGGGCCCCGCCCCGGGCGGTTCCCCCGGCATCCGCTCCGCGCTTCCCCAGTTACGCCCCCTTAGCTTAGCGTCGCTTATCTCATCTTAGCTTAGCTCAGCTTAACTTAACTTAGCCTAGCTTAGCTTAGCTTAGCTTAGCTTAGCTAGGCCTCGCCTAGCTTAGCTTAGCTTAGCTTAGCCTAGCCTAGCCGAGCCTAGCCTAGCTTAGCTTAGCTTAGCTCAGCTGAGCTTAACGCAGCATTAGCGTAGCATAACATAGCATACCATATCACATCATAACATAACATAACATAGTATAGCGCAGTATAGCATAGCGCAGCATAGCGCAGCATATCATGGCATAACACAGCATATCATAGCATATCATAGCTTAGCTTATCATAGCATGGCACAGCGCAGCATAGCGTAGCATATCATAGCATAGCTTAACCTATCATATCATAGCCCAGCATATCATTGCATAGCGCAGCATAGCATAACATAGCATAGCGCAGCATAGCATACCATATCATATCATAGCGCGGCATCGCATGTCATAGCATATGATAGCATAGTATAGCATAGCGCAGCATAGCATAGCATATCATAGCATTAACAGAGCAGAGCACAGCATAGCGCTGCTAGCATAGCATTGCATAGCGGCATGCTGCTTTCCTAGAGGCTCCAACTCCTAGGTAGGGTCGCACGGGGATGCTTTTATTTCTCGTTGAAAGTCCCTCTGTAGGGGGACAGGCCCGACTGAACTCAAGAAGGGGGAGGGCCGCCCCTGCAGAGGCGTGGGCGCGCGGGAGAGCGGGGCAGGGGCGCGGGCGCCCCGTCGCCCCGAGCCCGCCCGATCCCCCTCCGGCACCGGCCGGCTCCCGGGCCGCGCCGCGCAGTTTGTGGGGCGTGGGTGTTTTGTGTCGCCCCCGCGGAGCTTCCCGGGCAGTGGGCCTCAAGCAGCGGCGAAGCGCCCTGGCTCGCCCATAGCCTACCAAAATCGAAGGACCTCGTTCTTGTACTTGGAACAGCTTTGGGGTTCCAAGGACATGTCGTGGTGGGACTGTAGGAATGCCGGGACGGGCGGTCCCCGCTCCACAATGGGGGGGCAGCGACGAACAGGAAACAGGAAGTGAAACGGGGCTGCCTCCGCTGGCGGGAGGTGGCGGAAGGCCGGCGGAAGCTGGCGGAAGCAGAAGATGCGCCCCCAAGCGATGGCAGCAGTTTTGGGCTCAGGGGCTCCTCTGGGCCGTCGGACGTTCTCCTGTCGTTGAGCGTCGGAGGTCATCTGCGCCCGAGGGTCGCGTGTCGACAGGGCCCTCTGCCGCAGCGCCCTCAGTGCTGCTGAGAGAGCCTTCTCGCCGGACCTGAGAGATGATCGGAGGCCCAGAGATTGACACCAACACCAATATCGGCGGTGTGCAGCTACCGAGGAAAGACGATCCCGATCTCGGCGATGGTGGTAATATTCTGGCTTCCAAAGTGACCGACATGTTGCCACCAACACCGAAATCTAGGATCGTCTTCCCCAGGTGGAGGCAACCCCCTGTGTTGGTGTTGGTGCTCATTTCCTAGGCCTCCAAGATGAGGGCCTCCGCGGCCACAGCGGGCCCTAAGACTTACTCTTCGAGCGCGTTCTGGTCAGGGTCCCAAGGCGGATCCGGGCGGTCGTGGCGACGAGGCCCCCGACAGCGTCGGTCGAAACGTCGTGGCGCCGACCTCGACCGTGCCTCGTCTGGACGCGGATCGACAGCGTGTGCAAAGTTGTTCCTCGATCTTCCTCCTCCTCCTCCTGCTCCGCTCCCTCTCCTCCCACCAGCCCCTCACCCCCTCATCCTCCCCCCTTCTCCTTCTCCCATCCGTTTTCTAGCCACACTGCGCCTCCTCCCCCTGCTCCCCCGAGGCGCCCGGAGATCCCCAGAGGCCCCTGGAGGCGCCTGCCCAGAAAAGGCCCCACACGTCTCAAATTGTGATCGCAGATCCTCCTGGATCGAAGATCTTCTCCTCCTTGGTCATCCGATTTTGGCCACTGCTCGTGGCCGCGGCGCTCAGGTGACTAGAGAATGCCAATGACTCGACCATGGCTGCTGTTGTCTGGACTTCGGTGTGGCAAACCCAATCCAGGCACTTGATGAGGAGTCCATTGTTTTCCGTGCCGACGGTGCCGATGCATCGCCAACGTCACCAACACATCGCCGAGATGCATCGGCGATGCGGCGCGATCCTCGGACCCCACTGGGGAGGCCACAGAAGAAACGATCCTCCATCCACCCCTCCAGTCCTCCCCCGATTCCCCCTCGCAGGGGAGGGAGCCGCCACTCTCAGGAGGGGAAAAAACACACAGACACAATGAATCGTCGACTCCCAGGAAGATATGCAAACATATGGGAAGTGGGGGGAAAGGCAGAAACCCAGAACATATGGGAAACGATGGGGCATCTCTTTCTTTGTGTGCATCTCTTTCTGTGCCCTGGGGGCCCCTTCACACCCCCGAGCACGAGGCTCCTCCCCCACTCCCCCGCACGAGCCCTCCCGGCCACGGCGTCGGGACGCGGCGGGAGAACTGCTGCCGCCTCGGCGGGCGGCGGGGGGGGCGCCCGAGCCGCTCCCGCGCCGCTCCTCGCGCTCTGCGGCGCCGCGGCGGACGTCGGCAGCCCTCTCTGCGGATGTTCCGGGAGGCTGGCCTGAAGTCGGGCCTGCCCCCCCCTAGAGAGGGATGGTCGACGAAGAAATGAAACATACCCCTAAAAATAGTCAGTCGAAAGGTAGTCCAAGAATCGTCTGGGGACTATTTTTGGTGTATTCCTGTCACCTTTTTGGTGCATGTTTGGTGTATGTTTGATTTTTCGTCGAAAATCCCCCTGTTGGGGGGCACGCCCGACATAGTGCTGGCCTTGAGTCGGGCGTGTCCCTCGACAGGAGGAAATTCGGAAAATAGCAAGAAACAAGTCGGGGCAAATGTGTTTTACAATTGTCCTGCCTATGTTTGAACACGCTTGTTTTGGAATCTTTTGTTCAACTTTCCCTCCCAAATCCGCCTGTCTGAGAGACATGCTTGACCTGATGCTGGCCGGGGTGTAGGTGTTTGAGCCGATGGGCAGCACCAGTTTGAGGCCATCAAATTGTGAGCTCGGAATTCCTAGCCACCGTCGCGTAGTCTCAAATGCTGATTAGCGGGACCTGGGTCCTGCGTGGACCGTCTGCACAGTCGGCTGACCACCATGTAGCTTAGGAAGTGGTAGTCAGGCTTGTTGTTGGACCGCCTCTATCTGCGCAGTCAGACAGCAGCAACCACTGTTGCGCCTAACCACCGAGCTGTTCATTCCAACTCGCGCCGTCGTGACCTGTGGGTTGGGGATTGATGATGAGCACCCATTTATCGCTGGCGCCGCCATGGCCACCTAATCTTGTATCAGCTGACAGGATGGTGGCAACATGTATTCATATTCTCTGTGAGATGAGAGGGCATCACCAAACACCACCCCGCCCACCAGGCACCGCCCAACCCACCAAGCACCGCCCCACCCACCAAGTGATCGATCTCTTATTCATTGTTTTGCCGATCGGCGCGGGCACTCGCACCCCCCCCAATTGAGTAGATCTTGGCTGTTTTTGGCGCCTGTTTCAACCAGGTGGAATAAGCACGGGGGCCCCGCCTCCAGGGGAGCACTGTTCCAAACTGTCGCACTAAGCAGAGGTCCGGAGCCAGACCCCCCCACATCCCCCTCCTTCCGCCCAACGTCGAGACGCCCGAGGAGGAAAACGTCAACCAAACCTCACGCCTCAGATGCTCCTGTTCTGCTCCCCGCGCAGGCCGCGCGCAGCAACAGCAGCGACCTCATAGAGCTCGCGTCCGCGCGCGAGCCCCGCCTCGTCGGCGGCTGCCGCGCCAGCCTCGTCGGGGCGGCGCCGCCGCTGCCGCAGCCGCTGCGGGAGCCCACCGAGGCTCGGCTGCCCGTCCCCCTCCCCCCCCCGCCCACCCCTAGAATCAAGTCGGGCCTCTCCCTCTACAGGAGGAAAATTCAGAAATAGTAAAAAAATGGTCGGGGGACGATTGTTTGACTATGTTTGACTGTTTCTCATATGTTTTGAATATGTCCTATTTCTCGTCCAAAATCCGCCTGTAGGGGGACACGCCCGACGTAACCCTAGAAGACGCAAAACAACAGAGAAACAGCCCCTGGCGCGGCCGCCAGGGACTGACATCCTACACCTCCTGGCGCCGTGGCAGGAATCCCAGCGGGAGGTTTTTGACTTGTCTGCCCCTGGCCTCAAGTCGGGCCTGTCCTTCTACAGAAGAAATGCTCAAACATAGTGAAAATAGTCTGCGGACGATTTTTTTTTGAATTTTTGACCATGTGTGGGTATGTCTGACTATTTTTAATTTTTTCGTCCAAACCCCCCCTGTCTGAGGGCACGCCCGACCTGACACCCTGGCCGGAGTCGCACTGAGCAGAGGTGCGGAGCCAGACCCCCCCCCCCTCCCCCCCCCTGTCGCTCAGTCGGGGGTGGACAGACCTCCTACCCTGACACGTCGATCAAGGAATTGGCCGTTTTCGGTTCGCGAGAGGGCGTCGCGGTCGTCATTTTTGCGGGTTCAGGTCGGGCGGATTCGGTCCCAGGCTGTTTTCGCTAAGGGGAGGTTTGCTAAAGGGAGGTTTGTCCACCGCCGACTCAGGTGTCGCGGCGCCGATTATGAGAGAGCGTTCGCTATCAGAGTGGGGGAGGAGGAGGAGAAGGAGGAGGAGGAGGAGGAGGAGGAACAGGAAGCGCGTGACCTGACCAGGCACAGGGGACCCGTCGAGGCCAGCAGGCGGGCAGGCACGCAGGCAGACGGACGAACCCACCGACGAGTTGGCACGAAAGCAGACCGGCGACCACCTCCGTGCGGTGGGAGGAGGAGGAGGAGGAGGAGGAGGAGGAGGAGGAGGAGGAGGAGGAGGAGGAGGAGGGGGAATGGATCGAGACCTCTCGGGGTCGCCATCAGAGAGGAGGGGGGGGGGAGGGGGCGAACGGTCTTCCTTCCTCCCTGCGCGCGCCCGCGGCCAGAGGGAGGGCTTTTTGGGGGCTCGCGGGGGGCTGGCGCTGTCTCGTGCCGCTCCTCGGGGGAGCCGGGTCGCTCGTGGAGCCCTCGCCCGTGGCCGAGGCTCTCACTCCTTGGCCAGGGGAGGTCCCTCGTCCCCTATATTCATGTCGGGCGTGTCCCCCTACAGGTGGATGTTAGACGAAAAATAAAAAATACCCCAAACATGCCCCAAAAAGGTTCAACAATACTCAAAGAGTCCCTGGATTATTTTTGGAGTATTTTTGACCATTTTGGGGGTATGTTTGATTTTTCGTCGAAAACCCGACATAACCTATATCTCTGGCACCCCCGGTGGCAGCACGAGGCCTGCAGCCGTGCGGGCAGTTCCAGCTGGAGGGCCCCGCCTTCGAGGGCCTGCGAGGGTGGGACGCCGGCGGAAGCACCACGGGGGGCGGCTCTGCGGGCGGGAGCTGGCGGAAGTAAAGGGC